TCTTATTATCCACAGATTTTATCATGTTTCCTAGAATATATCCCAAGGCCTCGCTAAATGATTTTTTTAGCTTCTCTACTGTAGAAATGACAATCACACGATAATTGTCTGGTCGTTTTCGCGTGAAACAACACTATGACTACACAATCCTACACAACATTATAGCGTGTCTATAACCCACCCCGTACGCACTTGTTTAATTCACATAAGTGGAATCCCCATATCGACTCAGCGACAGCGAGCTTAGTAGTCTCTCTTCCATTTACACACTAGAATGAATATATTGCGTCTCATACATGAAGCGAATGACATGTGTTGTATTGGCGCGCGAGTCTCTCTTCTTTATTTAAAGTAGGACCTACAATATCTAATCACCAAGCTAAAATCGATCTAGACACATGAGAAATACAGCCACTTGGAAACAGGGCTGAAACAGAGGGATTATGGGATGCTGCAATGATCTGTTTGGTGCCTTTGTGAGCCAAACACCTTCAGCAGACATGTTCTGTATATATTTGAGAACTTAATAATAAAGTAATGTACAAAACTATCGAACAATAACAAGGATGGTGAGCGAAAATGTAAGTTTAAAGCTATGTTAAATATACATGTATTCACGTTATAGCACAATCCAAAGCACTTATGTATAGAAATGCTTATGGACAACGATTGAGAGGAGACAGTTTTGTAAATTATTTATCTAGAATTACTAAACAAAGATTAATTGACACCTGCTGTGTCATCGTCGAACGGTTCTCCTCTAACCTATCACACACTGAGACTGCTACTGAATCGGCGCGAGATTAGCTACTCAAAATGTACATCGTATTTCTAGCGAGACTGAACGAAAGACCAACCGTCAGAGACTAACCACATGCATTGCGAGATACTGACTCCTTCCTTGCTATTAACCTAGGTTATGGACTTATGTTTGAAGTTGTGGATGAAGTCATATTGACAAATACATGCACAACACATCATCAAGCGTTCTCTATTCTCGGAGAAAAGAATTGTATCAAGCATGTTATCCCAGTAGTTAGCGTAGCGTTCTGTTCAAGGTGAGTATCTCCCTAGTGAACATGTAATCTATCATATCATGCAACATCTGTCTGTCAGCCAATCACCGTCTCAGCTCGTTTCAGTACCAGTCATCATCCCAAACACATGTCAACGAGTGTAATATTTGAGCTAGTTGGCACATACGGCCAGATTTTATTTTTCCATTACTTTATTATAAGCTCAAATATAATAAACAGACATTTCTGAATGTTATGGCTCCAAAACACCAAACAGATCATTGCAGCACATCCATATCCCTCTGTTTCTAAGCCTGTTCTCCAAGAGCTGATTTCCTGCCTGTTACTTTTAAGATGAATAATAAGGAGCCTCCCCACCGCTCGCCTCCCCACAAAAACTACCCAACAAACAGGGGAGGGGTGGGCGGGAGGGGAAGGAGACGGGGGAGCGATAGCGAGGGGGCTGAGGAGATATGTTGGTTAGAAGATAACCACAAGGTGGTTGCTTAGGAGAGATTCAGGTGATAAAGTGGGGGGGGCGAGGTAACCTTTGGTTAGGGTGGTAATTGGGCTAATGGGTGACGGCAAGTCCAGAAAACGAATCGTCTATGACAGTCTCATTGATTGTACCACAGAGCTGATCACTGGTATCATTTTAGAAGTTTGTAGAAAATGGAATCAGGACAGAAAAGAGACGACTAATGTCTCGCTGAAAGGATCTTTCAAAAGAGTCTTTTTCCTGACTTCATACGTAGAGGGGACACATGTTTCCTGATATAATAAAGACTAATGAAACAAGTGGATTGTTGCATAATAGGGTGATTCTTTAATATATACTTTGTAAACACTAAGCAGGGCGGAGGCTTTCAGCCCAGAGGATTATGGGATTCCCAAGCCAACACCTTGGACCCCTTCAAGTCAGGCTGGAAGAGACTGGTGACTGTTCTGGCCTGCAGTCCATCACCTCAGTCCCTGACCCATGCGATCATCAAGGTCAATAGAATCCTGACCAATGGGAGGACGCCGACCGTGCTGGTACTGCTTTGTGGAGCACTGGCTCGTCAGGGCATCAATCGTTGTGCTCGAACACACGCGACGCGAGACACTGGACGGAGGCTCCCCGCTTCAGGTACTATTCACTCATTTACTTCTTAAGTTACATTGAAAGATAAGGTTTTGTTTTCCAATTTCAATGTAAGATCTTCTGCCAATGTGTCTGCCAAGTCTGTCTAGACTCTACAGTACCATATCAGTAAAAGTTGAATTGAATACATACAAACCACAGTTGTCTTAATTTGGTGGGTTCATCTGGACAGACTAAACTAAAGCAGTTAATAGAGTCAGGAGTAAATGACTGTATATGTACTCGCCTCCAAAACCCTCTTTCAGAATAAAAGAGTGAAATAAAAGGTCAAATTTGAAGAGTACAAAAAAAACAAATTTGAAACACATCTACACTTTGCATTTGTTTGTTTAATAAACATTTTCCATGTTACACCGTCCCGTGTTGCTCACAGATTGACGCGCTGACGGAGATCGTGGACACGGTTCAGGGCAGGATCGAGATCTATCTGGACGGAGGCATCAGGACAGGAAGTGATGTTCTGAAAGCGCTGGCCTTGGGAGCCAAGTGTGTTTTCATTGGCCGTCCAGCAGTGTGGGGCCTTGCATACAAGGTACAAGCAGAAACACTGATCACCACTCTTCTGACGGTTTACTCTACACCCACCACGATAAGGCTCCACACACTAAGCCATTGTCCTTGGCAGCTTGAGTTTATCCTTGAAAGTCAGTGAAACTATTGGAGCTAGCGAGCCTCGGTGTAAAGTTTACAGAGAAAATGTGTCCGGTACCGTTTTCAACTCGTAGAGCTGCTATGCTCTCTGAACTCAAAGTGAAATTAGATTTTTTTCAGTGCAAAAAGTAATAATGGTGCTGTGTGATATTTCAGGGTGATGAAGGAGTGAGGGAAGTGCTGCAAATCCTTAATGATGAGTTCCGTCTTTCCATGGCTTTATCAGGTAAGAGATTGGTTGATTCATTGATTTCATTATTAAAAAAATAATTAAATTGCAGTTATTGCAACATCTCAAAAGATGGAAACACAAGATTGAATTTGTATTGCTATTGTTGTTGTCTTTGTGTGTGTAGATGTGAGGTTGCGACTGAAAAATATAACTTGCAATATACTATATCAAATAAGCAATATCCTGTCTGACGTTTTTAAATGTATCGGATCCAGGTTGCAGGAACGTGGCAGAGATCAACAGGAACCTCATTCAGTTCTCTAAACTCTGACACACCAGCAGAGGGCAGCACAGAGGACAATAGCAAACACTGAACAGGACTGAACCACTTATTGAACAAGTACCTGAGACTCCATGGTGACAACGAAACTGAAAAACTTAACCTCAGAGTCATGACTTTATCATGGCAGAACATACAAAACAGCTTCATGCAGGGTGTGAGAGTGAGAGTGAAAGTTAAGGGTCTGAGGCAGATTCAACAAGTGAATAATGAGGGGTTTTGGGGGGAGTAGAGGCACTTCTCATGAAACCTACAAGTGTTTTGGGGTTTTATTGTAACAAATGCAACTGATCATGACATATACTACAGTTTAAGACGCTGCCAGTGATTGTAGTTGAATAAACGCCAGCTGAAATTGATGAAGATGTGTTGTTTTTCTTCTGGATTTGTATGGCGATAACAGACAGGCTGATTAGCAGATGTCTGTCTTTTATTTATCTTTGTTTCCCAACTTAATACTCATCACATTAACATGGGCAATCAATCTGTTTACATTTTAAGAAGATTCAAATGTAGTATTGTTTTCAATCTCTTATATCAGTGCTTCTCAAAGTGGTGGTCCGTGAGCGCCCCCTAGTGGTCCGTGAGTACATTGGTAACATTTCACATTTGAAATAAATTAATTTAAGTTTTCTGCACTCTCGCGCGAATATTTCCGCAATGGAAAGAGCTTAAGTTTCACTTTCAATTGCATCACATAGCCCAGCGTAACACCTTCATCACACATGTTGCCACCTCTTTGTACCAGTTTCAGGCGATTTGTAATCTGTTCTAGAAAAACGATGTGTTTTTGGATGTTTGTGGAGTTAGGTGGTCCGCGAGTGTTTTTGTATTGGTTAAGTGGTCCTTGGTATGAAAAAGTTTGAGAAACACTGTCTTATATTCATACATCAGATAAAGGTCAAGGCCCAGCTAAAGATAGAAAAAAAAGACCGTTTGTCTTTGCATTCTGTTGAGTAACATGTTTTCAACTTTCATCCAGTAAAAGACATGCAAATACCTTAAAATATAAGAATGAATTATCCTTTTTGAGAACATTCCTCCATATTTAAGGCCTGCTAGTGTGCCTTTATGCCAAATTCAAAACCTTTTAAACTGCTGGAGATACTTTTTGCTGCTGATTTCACTAACAGTATCACAAGTGTGTCACACTGGTGTGGGGAGATGCAAGAAGGCGCACCCTGAGAAAGAGAAGTAGCACAGGAAGTGACTGAGGTCTCGGTTTAGGCAAAAAAAAAGTTGATGCTCACGCAAACGCTTCAACTCTCCGAGCAGCTGGTGCAGAGCAGCAGACATTTCTCTGCTGAGTTCCTCTCACAGATCGGGCTGTTAAGACATACAGGCTGGAGAGAGGCCTGGGGTCCGGGCTGCTGAGGAAGCTTTCTTCCAGGTAAGTCCTCAACAGGTGATTCTGTGTGTTTTAGATCTGGCCATGTGACGCACCTGCAGCAGGGAACAGTACATGACAATAAGTATACCTAAAATTCATATTTGTCTATTTAAACTGCAGTGAGGTACATTCAGGCTGCAGTGATGTACATAATTGTACTAATTTTTATCACGTTTTGTAGAGATTTATAATTAAACTGTCACAGGATCAGCTTTATTTACCAAGTACGTGCACAAACATGAAAGGTTTGACACCAGTTTCAAATGTCTCTGTGCTACTCACTGAACAATTTACAGGACGAAGGAAATACACACAGCGAGAAAACAAGACAACACAAATGAGGTTAAAACAACAACTATGTACATACAAAGTATTTTAGTACAAACATACAATGTCTACATAATGTGTATATAATAGTGCAAAGGCATACATATTAAATGCGTACAGTAGGCTAGTATATTACTTTGAATATATAGAGGGAATACGTGTATTTAAAACTGCAAATATATAATTTCTAGGTTAGTGGATATTGACACTATAACTGATCATCACTAACATCATAATGATACGTTGAAAGAAACTTGAGTGCGGTCACACTAATACCTAAATGAAATCACTTCTTGAATAAAAAAGAGACATATTGTTTATTGTAAGAGGTGATTTAAGGTAGGCCTAGTTGCATGATGTGGGATCCCATTAGCTGATGCACCTATCAGGGTCCACATATGAACTTAACCTAATAACATGAAGACATTTCAAGATTAAACAAAGAACACCAAAAAAAAAAGACAGGTGCACTGAAACCTGGCAGCGCACTGAAAACAAGATAACAGGAAATAGCAAGTAAATGCCTGTAATACTATTAAAGTCATTTTATGATGTAATGATGCTACATTACGTGTTGTCAAAAACATCACTTTTTCCACTTGAGTAATTATGTGTGGTCGGCAAAAACTTTCACCTTTTTTTAAATTGCGTTCAAACAAACAAGTCTCTCAGACCACAATAACGTGACGAAACGCTGAAGCTGTACAAAGATGAACGGGGGATCTAATTGAACAATTAAAAACTTCTATAAGAACAATACATTGCTAATTAAGGTACCTAAATGATTCATCACATACTTAAAAATGTGCTAATGTGGTAGGTAGATGAAAATAATTAGGGAGCATAAAAAAGATTATTGGTCATTATTTTTCGTCCAATTATGCACATTTATTTGTTTAACCCTTGTGTTGTGTTCGAAAGCTGTTACCGTTCAATTTTGACCCATGATTTATCTCAGTCCAAAACACACGAAAATAATGACTATCATCCAATGTTGTTTGAACTACATCGTAACTAACTTATTATGCATTCATAACCGTACAATTCTGTTGTTATTTTTATTTTATGGCCCCAAAACTCATTACACCACATATTGCACACGTACGTGCAGGTTCAAGTGTTGGTGTACATATTCTTTGAGAAAGGTTGAGTTCCCTTGGGGGGAGGCGGGCAGAGGGTGGGGAGACCAGGTGCATGTTGCGAAAAAATATTGTTACAGTGGAAGAAGGGGTGGGGGAGGGGTGTCTAAAGTCAAAGATGAATCTTGATTGGGCCAAATTTGACTCCGAGTCACCCCCAAAAATGCTGCTGGGTCTCCCCAGACCCGAACACCAAATTATACGCTTTTTTTTTGAGAGACCTTCAGACTTGGCTAAAATGTTCAAAATCTGTTTTGTATTGTTTAGCTGTTGTGGAGGATATCATGAAGCCTTGTTCTGATCAAAAAAACTAAAGCGTAGTTATTATATAATTTTAACTTGAAACGGGTCACGGGAGACCCGAACACAACATAAGGGTATAGGAATGATTCTGCAGCTGAATGACCACAATGTCTGTGAAATGTCTGATTGTATCTAAAGATTAACTTCACACGAGGATGTGGTAAATGAATGCTGACATTATAAATAAAACCTCACAAAATTCACTTTGATCCACAACCTTTGGGGGGGAAAAAATATGATATGACGTGTATGCTGTTTGTAAGGGAAAGGTCTAAAAGTATTTAGAAAAAGTCTGGAGTCTGTCTTTCAACGAGCGAGGCCACAGCAAACACAGAATTGATCACTGTGTAGAAAAGGGAACATCACAACAGGAAGAATGACCTTATACAGAGCCTATGCAGAGAGTCACATACATATAGTCAAAGATGAGTCATTTCACAGTGGAAGAGATATTTCTGTTTACCATGGATGACCTTTTCCTGTAATGGTTTTCTTTTGGGCTGAAAAATCATCACATTTAGCATTATCTTTTATTTTGTATTTCATAAAATCCATTTCCGTCCACTTCAACTTTTATGTGTCTCCAGGAAGTCTAATCAGCGTAACCAGCGTCCTCAACCACAAGAGGCTAATGAAATGGGGTAAGCTGATTTTATATTTCAATATTTCTGCTCTTGTTAAAATATTTGCCATAATTCAACCCTTGTATTTTATTTTCAGGATTATTTGAGGGTTTATAGATTTTTTTGAATTAGAGGAGTTCCCAGTCATGAGGTTTGAAACACAAACACTCAAATTAAAGAGTTGGAGTTTCTGTTTCTTTTCTAAATCATTTTGGAGCATTTATCTTAAGCCCTTACTTCTGCACAATGTGTTTATGTTTAATGTTTTTAGGCACAGGAACACATGATATGTTTTTAAAGGATTGTATTTTTACTTATGTAAGTACTTAGGTTTTACATAAATATTTAAACATTTGGACACTTGTAATTCCAAGAAATGTTGTTAGAATAAAGCAATTCAAACCGCTTTGTATTCACATTGTGTTAAATAAAAATGAAATATTTAATTGTTAATTGTTTAATTGTTTTCCAGGAGGTCTTTGTGAATTACAAGACATGTCATTATCCAATTTGGCGAATAAGGCACCTCATTAATACCTTTTAATATCTGTATGTTTTCTTTCTCAGAGTATTGTTTTTGTTTGACCTTACTGTATGTGAGTAGCTTGTCAGGAAATAGTTTAAAGAGGAGAAGTGGTCAACTTTACTGGTTCCTCCTTTTCAAAACACTGAACACAAAACCAATGAGGGACTTTTGTAAGCTGCTGGTTTGCAGCACGAATCTCCATTTGTCAAATTATTCAAATCGTTTAAGGCCATGCAACTATTTAAGGTCTGCCAAAATAACTGAAGGAAGTGGTATTTGTACACAACATAAGAGGAAGTGCTGGGATAGAAAACTAAATTGAGTGTCAAACTGCCCTTACAGTTAATGACACTCTTCAAATAAATAATGTTGACAGGTTTCAGAATCAGGGGCCAATGCATAACAAGCTAAAGAAGCAAAGATTCAAGTCATAGCTGTAGGAATGGCAATCTTATTATACATCTTAAGTCCTCCAACAATACAACATAAATATATATATAAAACATAAAACAATAAAAAATGGTGCAAGAAGAGACAGAGTAAAAATTAAATAGTGCAAGGCAATGCTGCAAGACCAATGTGCAAGAAATGCAGGATACAAACATTCAATAATCAAATACAAATCCATAAAGTTTATATGGATATAGGAGCGACAGCATAATTATTGATGTCACATAATCAGATTGCCCTGTGATAAGAGTCTATTGTTGAGAAAGTGAAAATGACACAGTAAAATTCAAGCTTCCCCCCCTCCCCCTCCTCCTCCTCCTCCTCCAGGGGAAGTGGAGATGACAGCGGTTCGTCGAGGCTGAGCCGTACATTCTCTCGTCTGAGCAGACATCAGTCCCGGGACCCTCCGAGACCTCCAGTTCAGCCGGAGAGACTTCCTGCTCAGCAAGGTGTGTGTGTGTGTGTGTGTGTGTGTGTGTGTGTGTGTGTGTGTGTGTGTGTGTGTGTGTGTGTGTGTGTGTGTGTGTGTGTGTGTGTGTGTG